TTGGGGTTGTGGGTTGGGGTTGTGGGTTGGGATTGTGGGTTGGGGTTGTGGGTTGGGATTGTAGGTTAGGGTTGTGGGTTGGGGTTGTAGATTGGGGTTGTGGATTGGGGTTGTGGGGTTGGGCTTGTGAGTTGTGGGTTGGGGTTGTAAGTTGGGCTTGTGAGTTGTGGGTTGGGGTTTTGAGTTGTGGGCTGGGGATGTGGATTGGAGTTGTGGGTTGGGGTTGTGGGTTGGGGTTGTGGATTGGAGTTGTGGGTTGGGGTTGTGGGTTGGAGGTTGTGGGTTGGGAGTTATGAGGGGCGCGTGTATTTACTATTTATTTGTGGCTGCAGGATCGAGTTGTTAGCTCTTGGACCACAACTTATCATGGGTAGATAAGTGTGAGTGTGGGCGTGAGTAAGTGTGGAGTGTGAGTTAGTGTGGGCGTGATTGTGGGCGTAAGTGTGGGGTGTGAGTAAGTGTGGGATGTGAGTAAGTGTGGGGTGTGAGTAAGTGTGGGCGTGAGTAAGTGTGGGGTGTGAGTTAGTGTGGGCGTGATTGTTGGGCGTGAGTAAGTGTGGGCGTGAGTTAGTGTGGGGCGTGATTGTAGGCGTGAGTTAGTGGGGCGTGATTGTAGGCGTGAGTTAGTGTGGGCGTGATTGTAGGCGTGAGTAAGTGTGGGGTGTGAGTGTGGGCGTGAGTTAGTGTGGGCGTGAGTAAGTGTGGGCGTGAGTAAGTGTGGGGTGTGAGTTAGTGTGGGCGTGATTGTGGGCGTGAGTAAGTGTGGGCGTGATTGTAGGCGTGAGTTAGTGTGGGCGTGATTGTAGGCGTGAGTAAGTGTGGGCGTGAGTAAGTGTGGGGTGTGAGTTAGTGTGGGCGTGATTGTAGGCGTGAGTAAGTGTGGGCGTGAGTTAGTGTGGGCGTGATTGTAGGCGTGAGTAAGTGTGGGCGTGAGTAAGTGTGGGGTGTGAGTTAGTGTGGGCGTGATTGTGGGCGTGAGTAAGTGTGGGCGTGAGTGATTGTAGGCGTGAGTTAGTGTGGGCGTGATTGTGGGCGTGAGTAAGTGTGGGCGTGAGTTAGTGTGGGCGTGATTGTAGGCGTGAGTTAGTGTGGGCGTGATTGTAGGCGTGAGTAAGTGTGGGCGTGAGTAAGTGTGGGGCGTGAGTTAGTGTGGGCGTGAGTAACGATAAGCTAGTGTAAGGGTAAGGTTAGGCATGAGTGAGATTTATAATTTGAGAGCTGGAGCGTGAGTGAGAGCTGGAGCGTGAGTGAGAGCTGGAGCGTGAGTGAGAGCTGGAGCGTGAGTGAGAGCTGGAGCGTGAGTGAGAGCTGGAGCGTGAGTGAGAGCTGGAGCGCGAGTGAGAGCTGGAGCGTGAGTGAGAGTAACTAGTGTGAGGAGTAACTAGTGTGAGGGGTAACTAGTGTGAGGAGTAACTAGTGTGAGGAGTAACTAGTGTGAGGAGTAACTAGTGTGAGGAGTAACTAGTGTGAGGAATAGTGTGAGGAGTAACTAGTGTGAGGAGTAACTAGTGTGAGGAGTAACTAGTGTGAGGAATAACTAGTGTGAGGAGTAACTAGTGTGAGGGGTAACTAGTGTGAGGAGTAACTAGTGTGAGGGGTAACTAGTGTGAGGAGTAACTAGTGTGAGGGTGTGAACTAGTGTGAGGAGTAACTAGTGTGAGGAGTAACTAGTGTGAGGAGTAACTAGTGTGAGGAGTAACTAGTGTGAGGAATAACTAGTGTGAGGAATAACTAGTGTGAGGAGTAACTAGTGTGAGGGGTAACTAGTGTGAGGAATAACTAGTGTGAGGAGTAACTAGTGTGAGGAGTAACTAGTGTGAGGAATAACTAGTGTGAGGGGTAACTAGTGTGAGGAGTAACTAGTGTGAGGAGTAACTAGTGTGAGGGGTAACTAGTGTGAGGAGTAACTAGTGTGAGGAGTAACTAGTGTGAGGAGTAACTAGTGTGAGGAATAACTAGTGTGAGGGGTAACTAGTGTGAGGAGTAACTAGTGAGGAGTAACTAGTGGGAGGAGTATAGTGTGAGGAGGGTGGGAGTAACTAGGGTGAGGAGTAACTAGGGGGGGGGATAATTAGGTGAGGGGTGATAGTTGAGGGGGTGTGAGGAGTAATAGTGTGGGGGTATTAGTGTGAGGGGTGATAGTGTGAGGCGCCAGCAGAGGTTTGTATGGGACATATTGTGGGGGGGGGGGGGTGATAGTTAGGGGGGGGGGTGATAGTTAGGGGGGGGAGGGGGCAGGCGGGGTGAGAGGTTGTTGGCTGGTCCGGGCTAACAAGGGGGGGGGGGAGGGAGGAAGGAGGGGGGGGGGGGTGAGCACTTCCGGTATCCAAGACGATCCTGTTGACATTCATATCAACAACCCCCCCCCCCCTTTCCCCCTTCCCAAACAAGTCAACCCCCCCCCCCCCTTTCCCCCTTCCCAAACAAGTCAACCCCCCCCCCCCCTCTCCATTCTAGCAAGAAATTGGGAGTAACAGGATACCAAATTGGGCAAATTAGTGTCAATATCTTTAAGTCTCAACAGCGCCGAATACGAAGCAACGGGTTCGACTTCCACTATCACCAGTTCACTACGTGTGTTCTCCGAGTCAGCACCGAATCACCATTCCCTATATCAGGCTCACCAAACTGTTATCGAGTGATTCCCCCGACACTGAACAGTATATATAATATATGCGCGGTCACACACCTTGAGCTCAGGAAGTAGACGACGTCGTTAAAGATCCACAGCTCCGGGTCTTGAAGTTAGTCACACAGACGACACAATACACCAGGTGATTCAATTAAGGAAATCTGTGTCACTATTGGCTCTAAGGTAATTTTCTCCCTAAGCTACTCATTTCTGATAAAAACACTTTATTTCACAATGATGATATATCTATATCTATCTATATATACACGTCACTAATCTGTCAAGGGCCATGTATATTTAACACTTCGAATAAATGAAATCCTGATCACCAAACAAATTCTGTAAGTCCGAGAAAAGTTAAGAAACTTATCGCACGCAACTCGGCACTTCATCCGTAACACTCCCACCTCACCAGCCAGAGACACACTGACCAGATGTTTGCAAACGCAGTGCCTAGCTAGAGGGAAAACTGTCGTACGCACACCTTTCCCGAATGACGTTATGAAATAAACCAATTCCTCAGATATAACAAGAATAATACATTCATTACCCCAACGTTTAATTAATAGACGAGACGAACAAATATTTTTTACGTATGATCAAGCATGTCTCTCGCCACCAATGCTGTTTCCGTCGTTCGTCCGGCAGCAGCATGCGTCAGAGCCCCCGATAACCTGAGAGGAACTTTGCAAAGTTCATATTAAGTTGACAGACAGATATACAGCATTGTGTCAACGCTGGTGGCCATACACCTAACCGAGCCAGAGGCAAACGTCGTGTGTCAGGAGACAGAGAAGAGACAGAAAGCGTCGCAGCGCGAGAGACAGGAGTGGCTGACAACGGACCGCCACCAGAGAGATGGCAACGATAGGAAAGTTGATTTACGCTCGCGGTGTGAGACGCTCTGAACGCTGGAGAATAAACAGGCTAAAGTTTAGTTTATGGGTGTAGGAAACCCATGAATATCAACGCGGCCAGACTCAGTATTGATTGCTGGAAGTGATAAGCCCCCCCGGGGGCCAGCCGCTGACCCCCGGAAGAGAGGAAGGGAGCGAGGGAGGGACATGCTCACACAGATAGGTCAAAATGTATTTAGAATGAAGTCCATGAAAAATTAATCTGATATCTATCAGGAGTCAGCAGCTGCCCACGACTGACCACGCTAGCGTCTGGCACTGATATCTTGCGGCTCAAGCGCCCCCGGAAGGATATATGGGGTGAGTAATATTATATATATATATTATATATATATATATATATATATATATATATATATATATATATATATATATATATATATATATATATAAACAACAAAATACATAATGTGTAGGGGTGGTACATACCAATATGTGAGTGTACGCGGGTGCCCCACAAGGAAGGCTCCCTCGGATGCTACATATCGTCGTCTTCGAGGCCGAGGGTCCCTACAAACGCATCTTTAATACCCTCCCCCCCCCTCCCTCACCTTTTCTTGAGAGTATCAAATCATATTTTTTTCAGGAGTCCAAAATTTCTATCTGTCTCCATTATATCTGATTCACTGTTATATTAACAGAAGAATGAGCTTATCAGCAATAATGAACCCAGTTTGTTAATTAACATAATTGCCCATGGTCACATTTTTTATCATAATTAATGGATCCAAAATAGTTCGTGTCAGAATATGTAGCGGTTAGTTTATTGCACAATTAAAAACAGCAGCAAGCAAAAGCTTTTCACGGTTCCTTATATGCTAATTTGTAATTGTGTTTAAGAACTTTCGAGTAATTAGGCGATTTATTTCATGGGAACTAGTGATGATTTGTTCATAAAGAGTTGAACATAAATGATTGTGTTCAATGAATAGTTAGTAATAGTTGATTGATCGACAGTTGAGAGGCGGGCCGAAAGAGCAGAGCTCAACCCCCGCAAGCACAGCTAGGTGAGAACAACTAAGTGAATACACACACACACACGCACACACACACACACACACACACACACACACACACACACACACACACACACACACACACACACACACACACACACGCACACGCACACGCACACACACACAAACGCACACTCACACGCACACACACACACACACACACACACACACACACACACACACACACACACACACACACACACACACACACTCACACACACTCACACGCACACACACACACACACACACACACACACACACACACACACACACACACACACACACACACACACACACACACTCACACACACACACTCACACACACACACACACACACACACACACACACACACACACACACACACACACACTCACACACACTCACACGCACACACACACACACACACACACACACACACACACACACACCATACGATGCTTCGGTCAGCCCTGGACCCTTCACCCACTCGTCACTGTGTAGTGATAAATTCCTCTCAAGTTCCAGCCCCACTCTTGTGCCAGGTAAGTCCACTACGGGCTCACCATAGCCCGTGCTACTTGGAACCTTTAGTTCCAAGTAGCTAATCTTAAACAACAACAACAACGCAGTGAAGATGTTTACAGTGTCTAATATCTTAGAGGTTTGAACAGATGTTTGGGAGTGAATGCTAATAATAACATTACTATTGAACTAAGTGTGTTCAAGGAGCAGCTTGATACTGAACATTTAATCTGAAGTGTCAAGACTTTATCTCTTTATCTACAGTCTGCTTGAACATGTTGGCTGGTGCTGCTCCTGTTGATGAATCATTGTAGTGTCCTGTTGTTGAATCATTGTATGTTCCTGTTGATGAATCATTGTGTGATCCTGTTGATGAATCATTGTATGCTCCTGTTGATGAATCATTGTATGGTCCTGTTGATGAATCATTGTATGATCCTGTTGATGAATCATTGTATGCTCCTGTTGATGAATCATTGTGTGCTGTTGATGAATCATTGTATGGTCCTGTTGACGAATCATTGTGTGATCCTGTTGATGAATCATTGTATGCTGTTGATGAATCATTGTATGCTCCTATTGATGAATCATTGTATGCTTCTGTTGATGAATCATTGGATGCTCCTATTGATGAATCATTGTATGCTGTTGATGAATCATTGTATAGTCCTGTTGATAAATCATTGTATGCTCCTATTGATGAATCAATGTATGCTTATGTTGATGAATCATTGGATGGTCCTGTTGATGAATCATTGTATGCTCCTGTTGATGAATCATTGTATGCTCCTGTTGATGAATCATTGTATGTTCCTGTTGATGAATCATTGTATGCTCCTGTTGATGAATCATTGTATGTTCCTGTTGATGAATCATTGTATGCTTCTGTTGATGAATCATTGGATGGTCCTGTTGATGAATCATTGTATGCTCCTGTTGATGAATCATTGTGTGCTCCTGTTGATGAATCATTGTATGCTCCTGTTGATGAATCATTGTATGCTCCTGTTGATGAATCATTGTATGCTCCTGTTGATGAATCATTGTATGGTCCTGCTGATGAATCATTGTATGGTCCTGTTGATGAATCATTGTGTGCTCCTGTTGGTGAATCATTGTATGGTCCTGTTGACGAATCATTGTGTGATCCTGTTGATGAATCATTGTATGCTCTTGTTGATGAATCATTGTGTGCTGTTGATGAATCATTGTATGGTCCTGTTGATGAATCATTGTATGTTCCTGTTGATGAATCATTGTATGGTCCTGTTGATGAATCATTGTATGGTCCTGTTGACGAATCATTGTGTGATCCTGTTGATGAATCATTGTATGATACTCTTGATGAATCACTGTATGCATCTGTTGAGTTGATCACTGTATGCTCCTGGTGAGTTGATCATTCTATGCTCCTAGTGAGTTGACCATTAATGCTCCTGATGAGCTGAGAACGGGATGCTCCTGATGTGTTCATCATTGCATGCCCCTGATGAGTTGATCATTGCATGCTCCTGGTATTTGATGAGTGCATGTTCCTAATGAAACTTCTCCCAATTGTTTTGTAAGCCCTTGACCCCATCTACCGGGATTGTTATATAGTGTAGTTGATTGTATTCTCTTTCTATACACGTTATACATGACCTCAAAAGATCTCCCAATGTGCTAATTGTAGGTTTTGAATTGTCTAGACATTTCTGCTTCTATATTACCTTGAGGTTACCTTGAGGTGCTTCCGGGGCTTAGCGTCCCCGCGGCCCGGTCGTCGACCAGGCCTCCTGGTTGCCGGACTGATCAACCAGGCTGTTGGACACGGCTGCTCGCAGCCTGACGTATGAGTCACAGCCTGGTTGATCAGGTATTGGTGACGTCCTTGTTCTAATATATTCTAGGATGTATAAGCTGTATGTATTAGTTGGATACATATGCTGTATGTATAAGCTGTATGTATTAGTTGGATACATAAGCTGTATGTGTAAGCTGAATGTATTAGTTGGATACATAAGCTGTATGGATAAGCTGAATGTATTAGTTGGATACATAAGCTGTATGTGTAAGCTGAATGTATTAGTTGGATACATAAGCTGTATGTGTAAGCTGAATGTATTAGTTGGATATATAAGCTGTATGTGTAAGCTGAATGTATTAGTTGGATACATAAGCTGTATGGATAAGCTGAATGTATTAGTTGGATACATAAGCTGTATGTGTAAGCTGTATGTGTAAGCTGTATGTGTAAGCTGTATGTGTAAGCTTTATGTGTAATCTGTATGTGTAAGCTGTATGTGTAAGCTTTAGTGATACTTCTTACACTGTTTGTTCATATTTATACGCCGTCATTTATGTTTTAATTCAATTTGGTTGAGTTTTTTCCTTGTAACCCAACAAGTCTTGTCCTTGAGAGGTTGTGGGAGCCTCGACCCCACGTCCTTTTGTCCCTGCACACCTGGGCAGCACACACCTGTCTCTGTCACTCACACCTGTGCTGCCTCTACTTTCCTGGCCTCTGCACAGGCCGGTATCACATACACATCTGTTCCGTCTCTCCACATCTGTTCCATCCCGTTTATTTGGACATCTGGCAACTCACTCACACACAAACACATTGACTAGTGGCCTGAAAGCTGAGTGGGTAGCGCTTCGGATTCCTAGTCCTGAGGTTCCGGGTTCGATCCCGGTGGAAGCAGAAACAAATGGGCAGAGTTTCTTTCACCCTGAATGTCCATGTTACCTAGCAGTAAATGGGTACCTGGGAGTTAGACAGCTGTCACGGGCTGCTTCCTGTGTGTGTGTGTGTGTGAAAAAAAAGTTAGTTAGTAGTAACAGTTGAGAGGCGGGCCGAAAAAGCAGAGCTCAACCCCCGCAAACACAGCTAGGTAAATACAACTAGGTGAATACACACAAACACACAGCCTTCACACGGCAGATTTAATAACCTGTTTCTGAGACCAGGTGTGTGTGTACTTAGGGTGTGTATCACGTCCGGTGTGTGTGTGTGTGTGTGTGTGTGTGTGTGTGTGTGTGTGTTGGACGGTAGAACTTGTTCCCCTTAAGCATTCAGTTACAACCTGTGTGTCCCCTACCCCCCCCCCCCCGTCACCTTCCTCCCCCCTTCAAACCAACAACCAAAACGTTGCAGCAACGTATTTGACACGTCTGTACGACGTAAAAAAAAGTTGTGGTTTCGTATTGTGTTGTGTGCAGTCACTCATTGTACTCAGTGACGTTCAATGGTGTACAATGTCTTCCACCATATATGGCATACAGTGTCTTACATATGTGACATACAGTATTTCACATATGTGGCATACGGTATATCTTACATATGTAACATAGTGTCTTGCACATATATGTAACATATGGAGACAGGAATGACCTCAAACCCCTCAAAGTCTCCCCTCTGACCGCCAGCACACTCCATTCTCTCTTACTTTACCCCGTCTCTTAACCTCCAATAAGTATTTGTGCCCGTGGGACTGTATTGGTGTGTGTAGGTGTAGGTGTGTGTAGGGAGGAAGTGGGGAGTGTGAGGGGAAGGGTGTAGGGAGGAAGTGGGGGAGTGTGAGGGGAAGGGTGTAGGGAGGAAGTGGGGGAGTGTGAGGGGAGGGTGTAGGGAGCATAGGGGTGGGTGAAAGTAGTGTATGGGTGAGTACAAGTTGATAAAGATGTTGGAATCAGTTTAAGAGGCAGAAAGTGTAAGTAAAGATCAATGGATGTAAGTAAAGGCTAATGGGTGTGATGGTGGGTATTGGGGAAAGTACTCGCCTAATAGTAATGCTATAATAGCTTTTGCATTATTGTGTTTCAGCTCCTAGGCCCCCAACCTTCCCACCTGTACGTCATCTAGTGTAATGGCTCCCAGCCCCGTCGTTCCAAAGCATATGAACTGTGGATACATGTATCCATTTTGGCCCTGTTAATTCGCTCTTCCTAGAACCCTTATCTAAAATAAGGTTTTCCTGACATTCCTGTCGCGTATCTGCGAATTTAATATGTCAGGATCATGTCTCTCCAGCCCTTCTTTCTTCAAATAACATTATATTAACGCAGCAGGTGTTGGGCAGGTATGTTTTCAGTGACCAATAAGAGGGAGTAGTATAACAAGTATACCGAACGTTATATAAATTGTCATCCACACTTCCGTGGAGCTAAACATCCGATATATATATATATATATATATATATATATATATATATATATATATATATATATATATATATATATATATATATATATATAAAACGTGCGATATACACACACACACACACACACATATGTATATATATGCGGCAGAGGATATATCTACTTATCTCACTCGGTCTGCAACAGAGATCCATCAGACTCCGAAACAGGTTGATCCGTAAATACTGATCCGGTCACGTGTGGTATACAATTAAAGAGTATTGGGTCGATAGTGCTAATGTGAGCTGGGGAAAGCCGGATGTATTGGTGCAGGCTAGTGGAGCATGGTGCAGGCTAGTGGAGCATGGTGCAGGCTAGTGGAGCATGGTGCAGGCTAGTGGAGCATGGTGCAGGCTAGTGGAGCATGGTGCAGGCTAGTGGAGCATGGTGCAGGCTAGTGGAGCATGGTGCAGGCTAGTGGAGCATGGTGCAGGCGAGTGGAGCATGGTGCAGGCTAGTGGAGCATGGTGCAGGCTAGTGGAGCAGGCAACAGTGTGTCCATCGCCAGGCTATACACAACAGGGATGGAGGATAGATGTTGTATCTGGGGGGAGGGGAGGAGGGGGGGGAGAAGGATGGAGGTAGCAGCTTGAAATTGAATTGAAATTGAAATAAGTTTATTGAGGTAAAATACACACAAAAGGATGAGGTAGCTCAAGCTATTCTCACCCCGTTCTCACCACCCCAGCTGTGGGTGTGAAGACGGTTGGGGGGGCAGGGGAGAGGGCAGGGGGGGGGCGGGGGGAAGGGGGAGAGACTGGGAGGGGTCTCGTTAAAGGTTTCAGACCCCAGCAGGTTAGTCACTGGAGGAATGGTGGAAGTTGTTCTCGTTTCAGATTTAGCTACTCAGAACGACGTGTCCATGTAGCACGGGCTATGGTGAGCCCCGTAATAGCTTGTTGATCATTCTTTCTTGACGAGTTCCTGCCAAACACACACCGAAACTACGACGTTGGTACAACGTTCGAACAAGTTTTAACACCTCCTAACCAGTTATAAAACCAATATAGCAAGTTGTAACAACGTTCTAATACGTCATAAACACGTTA